TCCTAAACTATGTATTTGTCAATGTTATTGTGGCTTGTTAACATTTTTTTTTAGTTTTTTTCAGTAGAAATCTATACCTAAAGTGACGAATTTAGATAGGGTTCGGAACTATAGAAAAAGGGATGCAGAACGAACTAGATCTTATTTGTCAAATTTAGAACTAGCTCGGAACTATCGAATAAGGGATGTAGCGGGTGGCTTGTTTACTTTACATAGATATGTGTTCGGCGGCTTTTTCGTTCAAATACGCTTCTATTCTGTGCTTCGCAGATGCTTTTTCATAGCTTTCATAGCTTGGTAATACAAAACTAAAATTCGTGTTAACATTTCAACATCTTGGGACAGTCTGAAATCTAAGAAATAACAGCGAGCACCTCTGCAAACTCAGCTACAGCTAAAGGTATGTAAACGTACATTTCTTACAATCATTAAAATAAATTTAATTTCAAATTGAAAACACATTTCATCCAAAACAACTTAAGATCGCACACACGGAAGAACCAAAAAGATTGAAAAATCATGATACTTTTTTCTTTCGTCTGCCGATTTTAAAACTGGTTCGGAACTATAGAATTTCTGCTAGTTCGGAACTATCGAAAAAGGGATGCAGCGGGGGCAATTGATACTTCCTAGGACATCGCCATGTTAAATTCGCCAGTTGCTTGCATGCAAAAGAGATTTATCGCGAACCAGTACTGCGTCTAAATGTACTAGAAGCGCACCAGTTCAGAACTAGAGATTTTCACCACAGGGCTGTTTTATTACAAAACCTTTATATTATTGAATCATGAAGTAAAACTATATCAAAAAATTTTATTTTACAATTTTTTTTTAAACTTGCGTTTTACCTGTTCATTTTCTGTGTAGTAGTATTTGTTGTGCTTTAAGGTCTACATCTCATTCAGCGATTGGCACCTCCCCATATTTTATGGCTTTTGGCCAACAAATGGTGACAAACGGCGAGACGTATGAACTTTTGAGGAAACTGGAATTGTTGGAAGACAGAACCATAAACTTTAATAGAGAAGATTCTTTGGAGTTGGTAAGAAATCGTGGGAGCCAACTAAGGAATTTTCAACAAAACAATTTCGGGAAAGGATTCAACGCAAAACTTGCTCCATCGTTTATAAAAGCAAGGATCGGGCGAAGGTTAGGAAATTGTTACTATGAACTGGAGAACCTCCAAGGGCAATGAGTTGGCACTTATCATACGAAGGATATCCGCCAATAATAGCAGTCCTTGCTACAAGCGGTATCAGCTTCCGGCTTGTACATCGAAAGTCTGATTTTGGTTGCGGGAAAATGTAGTGGCTCTTGTAGCTCAAATTTTTTTTTACGTGTGACCTGTTAGTTTTTTCTACCTCTGTCCATATGTATTGTAATTTATGTGGAAACGTCTAGCCCTTGTAATTCAGGCGGAACGTATAGGCATACTCGTCGAAATCGCCGGGATGCACCTGCGCTGCTTTAATTGTTTGCTCGTCCAAATACTTGGGCTGTTGTAGCTTACCAACGTTGGCTGCAGTCACCTTGGGAGCGGTGTGGCTATCACCACATTTGTAAAAGACACTCAGAGTCCGCGTTTAATTAAAAATTTATCCATGTAACTCGCTTGGCGGTCCAACCAGAAAAGAAAGACCGGCATTTTATTTTATTCTAATTTCATTCCCCTCATTTGACATTTTAGACATTTGTGATTTTACAACGGTTGTTTTCTAGTAGATTAGCCTGAGGCTGGTGTTGCAGTGCGCAACGTGTGTGCCGCTACAGTATATGTGACCTGGTCTACGAAAAGGGAGCTTACGTGCGAAAACTAGTTTTCTGTGAAAAAGCTGTTAAAAGTAAGCAACTCGTTTCGTCAGTTTCTCATTATCTCGTTAATTGTTCTCCGCGCCGGACGTCCAGTAAGTGTTGTTGTTGGTCCAGTAAGTGTTGTTGTTGGTCGGAATATTATTATAGTTCATCGTGTAAGTTGCTAGTGTGGAACATTTAAAAAAGTAACACTGAAGAAGTGACGTTTACTGTTTCTGTTGATTATCGTCTTCGCATTTCGCATGAAATGAAACATGAGTGTTGATGAGGAGTTCAGTGCCGTATACGGACAATATTTCCATGAAAAGGATGATGAAAACGATGATGAAAACTATGAAGAGAGCGATGATGATGAAGATGAAGTATGTGTATCTCAGGCAGAAGATGATACCGAACAAACTTTTGTTAAGATGGACCTGTATGTTGTTGATGTAAAGGAGGAGGAGCTGGTAACAAAATTTCTATCAAAAGATTGTTGTAATAATGAATGCCATACACTGATACCACGGGAAATGATCGAGAGTACGCGGAACAATTGTTTAGAGATGTCGAAGAATGAACTTGATTTAGTGATACTAAGTCACATCGAAGCTGGAATTATGAGTAACGAAAAGCTAGAAAGTGTATACGCAAAGCTTGCTGGGCGGAAGAAATATGGACAGAGACAGGATACAGAAGTTATGAGGCATAGAATTCAATTTACCTTCTACAGAGTACCTGTTTGTCGTTCGTTTTTGCTTTTTGTACATGCCTGTACGACAAAGCGTTACGAAAATTTAGTACGTCATTTTCACGCACAGGGTGTAACAGTGCGCCAACACGGACTGGCAAATAAACCGAGTACACATCCAAAGTCATTTAAACCGGCTGACATCGAAAAAGCTGTTAAATTCATCGAGTCTATAGCCGATTTAATGGCTCTTCCACTGCCCGGACGACTCCCAAAATTTAAGGATTTTCGGATAATGAAACTGCCATCCAGCGAGACGAAGTCCTCAATTTATCGAAAATACATTTCTTCACTCAGTGATGACGAATTGAAGATGAGTAATTGCAGTTTTCGACGGATATGGTCCAAATACATACCCCATGTTACAGTTATGAAACCAGCGGATGATCTCTGCGATGTCTGCCGTGGTAAGTAGCTCATTATTTTCTCATTTTATAGTTGTATCAAACGTTGAGATTAAATTCAGTATTTTTTCTTTTAATAGGAAACACAATATCGATTGCGCAAGCCAAAGGTGTTACTGACATTGTACGCGCACAGAAGCTTAATCAATTTCTTGATCACCTCCACCGAGCCCGAAATCAACGAGAATATTATCAAAGTTGGTGTAGAAATACTGACCCTACAGCAGTCGTTCTGTCATTTGATTTTGCCCAAACCGTTCACTACCCTGTCAGTCCACAACAACCTGGTACAGCATACTTCAAAGGAACCAAGAAGTGCGGAGTCTTCGGAATTACAGACGAAAAACAAAAAGTTCAGGTTAGAATTTCAAACTGAATCATAGGAACTCAAATTGCTCGCCTTTACAGGATCTTACTTATATTTTTTTTTTTTTATAATTACATGATAGACGAAAAAGATGACGTTGGTAAAGGACCTAACTGTGTTGTGAACATCCTGCATTATCACCTGTTTGGCTCGGGGTCTTAACAAAACTATTTTATTCAATTTTCTACTTACCGGGCACACTAAGTTCGCGCCTGATCGTTACTTCGGTATTTTCAAAAGTAAGTATGCCGTCAGTAACATCGACACGTATGCAGATTTACTGCAGTGTGTCGATGCATCATACCCAAAGATGCGAAATTTGAATCATTTGATGTTAAGGATATTTACCCATCTATACCAACGGCAGAAACAGTTACCATCTTGACTTAAACTTTGCTAGAAAAAACAGTCAAGAGCGTAGCAACGGAAATCGTGAACACATTGAGGGTAACACTAGACCAAAACTACTTCAAGTTTAATAAAAAAAAATATATATAGACAAACTAACGGGCTAGAAATGGGCAATCCCACATCCGCAATTTTAATGAAAGTCTTCATGCAACATTTAGAGGAAAAGTTTATGACGGAGCTGACGAACAACTGGGAGTAAAGTTCTACGCAAGATATGTCGATGACATCATATGTATTGTAACGGGACACAAGGAAGAAAAAATTCTAGGCTATCTGAACGATCAACACACGAATATAAATTCCACTAAGGATAAGGTAAACGAAGGAAAAATAAACTATTTGGACAAAACAATTAAAATCAATAAGGTTACCAACAAATGCGAATACGGGATATATAGAAGGCCCACGGCCACAGACACGATAATACACAATACTTCAAACCACCCTCAACAGCACAAAAATGCAGCCCTTAGACATCTAATAACCAGGCTTGAATGAACCCCATTGGAAAAAGAAGCTTACAGAAAAAAACTAAATACGATATAAGAAATCGCGGAAAATAACGGATACAAAAAGGGCCTAGTAGACAAGATAAGAAGAGAAACAAGAACGAAGAAATCAAATAAGAAGGAAAATAATGAAAAGGCTTGGGCAGTCTTAACTTATACGGGAAAATCATCATAAAAATTGGCTAAAGTATTTCAAACGTATGACATCAATACAGCATTTAAAACGAAGGACAACGTGGGGAGGATACTACGAAATAGCACAAACGAGGAAGACCCACTAGAAAAACAAGGTGTATATAAGTTGACTTGTGAATGTCAACATAGTTACATAGGACAAACAGGGCGAAAGATAAAAACAAGGTATTGTGAGCATATAAGGGACTACAACAAAAAATGCGACGATTTAGCAGGGCTATAAATAATGACGGACAAACAAAAACTATTCAGAACGAAAAATGACACTGCAGATGGCACAACGCCGAAACCGGTTTGTCTCCAAACCAAATTTGACAAGGGATGACGGAAAATCGTTCCACATTAATCGAAAAAGGAAAACTTTTTCATGAGTTAATGTGGTGATGCATGAAATATCATTCGGTATACTAGGAAAATAACAAAAAGAAAAAAGGACAAAAAAACAACAAGTGAAACTAAGCGAAAAGATTTCGATCAGTTTGCTATACAGTGCATGCCATTGGCAACAGTAGTGTTTTTTTCTTTATCTACATTAGCAACACCTGTAAGAGTTGGATGGTCACACACACTATGAATGATCATTCATCGTGGGAACGCAACTTGTCGTAAGTCCAATCGAACTTATGATTTTTCTTTGCCATTTATGAATATGAATGATGGCAATGCCATCAATGTATTTGAGAGGGGTATATGCGTTCCCACGACAGTCGAGTCTACGTAACCGGAACGACCCAAAAAGTCTTTGGGGAATTTGTATGCTGCTACAACAACAACAGAGGGGTATATGCGCATTACCTTGTTGTTATTTTTTTATACAGTGAAGCCTGCTTAAGTACCACCCGGCTTAAGTACCTAACCCGCTTAAGTAACCAAAATTTTTGGACACCGTGAATTTTTTAATATAATCTGAAGAAAATCCCTCCCTTAAGTACCTCCCGCTTATTTACCCAACCCGCCTAAGTAGCTAATTTTTTCGTACCTCATTTACAATTTTAATTATTATTTTCCCCTTTTAAGTGCTCTTTTAAAATTCCTTAAAATTTTTACGTAGTTTCAAATTCAGTAGCAGCCTACACACCTTCGGTAAAAAAAATTCTAAAAAATCAACGGTAACTTTTAGCCACTTGAAACTTGCACATTATTGCACTAAAATTAAATGGGCTATAAAACTGTATACTCAAAATATACTTCTGAGAAAAAAGTTTGAAACTGTGATGAATTTTTTTTAAGTATTCTACAAAATCTTAAGCTTTGGTTTATATGGTATTTGTTAGGGAGTGAACTGCATTTTAATTGATTGAAAAATCTTAAAAATTGATGAACAAACATAAGTGGCAAACAATACCATCTTGAATTTGGTAAAAAATTCAAATTGACTTTTTAAACAATTTAATTCTTGTAAAAATGGCATACCATTGCACTAAATATATTTTTTTTAATAAAGTTTTTCTTTACTTGTTTATGTGTTTAAATAATGCTACGATTTTGGTTTTAAGCTATGTATACTTCATTAAATGTTGTTAATCAAGTATCTATGTAACTTTCTTTCTTCTTCTTTCTTTTAAGTACCCAACCCGCCTAAGTACCTCAAAAAGCTGAAATTTTTCGTGAGGTTTTTACTGTATTTGCAGTGCACATAATTAATATACACATATTGTAAACCATATTACAACGCTTTTATCAACTTGCAATGTTGTATGTCCAGACCACCCATACTATAAATATAGCAAAGGTATTTATGGCGAAGCTAGTCTAGATATCAACCCCGTCGTAGGTATCGTATCAAAGACATACAATTAGAAAAACTCTAGAGATAGATGTCGCCTCGCCAGAAGACGTTAAAAATATGCACTACATACGCTACAGCGGAAATGGACGACACGCCATTTCTTTAAATGAAATTATTTGCTGCTATATTCTAATCTAATTCTGTGCACTTGATAAATTCAACATCTTGCTTATTTATCAAGATTGACAACTTACCAAGATTTTTCTATTCTATGTCATAAATAAAAAGCTCTTTTCTTGATAAATTGTCAAGATGTCAAATGCTGTTGACAGTGATCTTGACAAATAAAATATCTGTTTTACTCTTTGAGCATAGTTGTGAAAAATAATTTGTTAGAATGGAAGAAGATATTTTATTTTTATTGTTGTTGTTAGACGAAGAGGAAAATTGCGAAAATAGAGATCGCGCGCGTTACTTAAAAAGTTTACGAGATGATAGTGATCCATTCTCGTTGAGTGATAATACGTTTATGGCAAATTTTCGTTTGACACGTGTAATTTGCCGTCGTCTCATTGATGAAGTGGCCCCACATGATGGTCAAAAAACCTCACTTCCTTTAACTATAAGATCTGTCAGCTTTAAACTTCTTTGGGCACGGCTCATACCAAAAATGTGTAGGCAACAACTTCTCGCTCCCTTCCATTTCGTTTCGACAAAAATTACGTACGAAAGGATGTAGTAAAATTTTATTTTGACAAAAAAAAAACATAAAAACATGAGATCATTACAACCCTGCAGGGAAAGCTACCAGTTGTGAACCAGAATGCTACCAGTTTGCGTTTCAGCCCAACTAGTTCACGTTGTATCCTTTTTCAATGTTATCGACTGGTATTTTTAACATGGCGGTGTCATAGGAGATGTCAATTGTCCGCTCCTGCATCAGCACGCTACCAGTAGAAATACTAGTAGCATCATACCAGTTGACGGGATAGACTGCCTATTCATCCCCCGTGAAAAGCATAAGTATGTCATTTTGCTCGCGGCGCTGCAACAGTGGCAATGGTCGACAGATTAAAGCTTTGGCACGCCAAATCAAGAGATCCGAGTTCGAATCTCAGTGAGCGAATCTTTTAATTTTATTTATTTATTTTTTTTATTTATATCTCTTGTGTAATTTTTAAATTTATTGTTTTAAAAAGAACAAAAAAATATTTATTTTCATTTTTTTATGGTATTTGAGTATTTAGTTTTTTTCCAAATCAAATTAAATGTATGTACAATTTTTATTTTATATTTAAATTGAAATAATTATTTAAATTAATTTACTTACTTTACTTTAACAACCTCCACGCGCACTCGAACCTGAGATCTCAGAACCAGAATCGGTAGTCTTCACTCAACGCCACAGCTGACATTTGTGATGAAACCAATTAACCACGTTTTAGTTTTGGTTATGCCTATTCAAAGACAGATGTCGCTGATCGCATAAGTTGTTCGAAATCGCGGAATTGGTAGGCCGTCGCTTTAGCATATACTGGTTTATGAACTAGTATTTATACTGGCTGGTTTGGCATTTCACTGCGGAGAACTGGTATAATTATAGTCCATGACGAACTGGTATGACTCCCCCATTTAATACCATTTTTCGAACTAGAATTTCTACCAACTAGTTTACTTTTTTCTGCGCGGAACTGGTATAATTATGGTTTATAACGAACTGGTATGACTTTTATCCTTAAATAATAGTTCATGAACTGGAATTTGTGCATACTGGTTTAGCTTTTCACTGCAGGGAACGTACACCAGCAAAACAAAACAATTTACCACAACTAAAGTTCAGAGAACTTTCCACAATGCATGTACCATAAAAACATAAAGATAAAATTTCTAAACTTTGTGCAAAACTCGGGAAAATACAATAATTTTGCATACAAATTCGCAACTTTCTGCTCAGACTTTTTCATAAAAGTTCTGAAAATGAAGTTTTGCAGCCCATAAAAATTTAATTGATTTTTGGTATTGTTTTTACTGAGAGTTTCCATACAAACTATGTTCTACATTTGTTTGTATGTGGAAGACACTGTCAGCAAAAAATAAATAATTGCAAAAAATCAACGAAATTTTCTGGTAACTTCAGACTTGCACTTTACTAGTTGGCTCAAAAGATACATTTTCAAAATTTTTCTAAAGGACCTGATTAGAAATTGTGTGAGTCTCCGAG